GTGGGAAGAGCTCTTCGTCGTTCCAAAATGCTTCTGCCAAATCGCATCCACCCGCCAGTGGAGCGAGTCGGAGCCCGGTGATAACACTTAACAGAGCGAGAGGAACTTACTTACTTAACGATCCTGCACACCTCCAGGGGTGCAAAGGGCCTTTGCGAAAGATTTTCATCCTGGGCGATTACTAGCTTTGGCCTTGACCTGTGCCCAAGTCAAATTTCGGTCAACGTTCTCAATTTCACTGTTCAGGCTCCGCTGCCACGAGCCTCTGGGTCTGCCTCTGCTGCGATGTCCTGCTAGATTCCAGTCCAGTGCGTCGTAGTGTGTGGCCGACCCAACTCCACTTCCGTTCACGAATTTCTGTCTCTATCGGCTTCTGATGGCACAAACGATGAAGCTCTGAATTTGAGATCCAATTGTGGGGCAACAAGGCACGAATTATGTACCGCAGGCATCGGTTGATAAACACTTGCAGCCTCTGAGTGTTCTCCGCTGATACACACCATGTTTGACTGGCGTATAACAGCACAGACTTCACGTTCGAGTTAAAAATTCGGATTTAGGTGCGTCGACTCATTTGATTCGCTCTCCATACATTTCGCAAACTGGCAAAAGCAGCCCTCACCTTCTTAATCCGTGCACCGCAGTCCGACGCTATATGGCTGCCAAGATATTGGAAGCTTTCGACTTTCTCCACTGCCTGCCCAGCTACCGTGAAATTGGAACGGTTTTCCTTGTTGACATCCAACGATTTGGTCTTGTTGACGTTGATGGTTAGACCTGCTTCAGAGTTAGACGGTTAGGTACACGGTCAACGGCTCCAACCATGATCTCGTCGATTACGATGAGGAACAGTAGCGGTGATAATATACATCCTTGCCTCACACCCGCGATTACCCGAATCGGGTCAGACAAAGCTCCGTTGTGCAACACTCTGCATGAGAAAGCCTCGTACTGCGCTTCGATGAGGTTGCCAATCTTATCAGGGACTCCCTTGCATCTCAGAGCGCCCCACAAGTTTTCGTGGTTTAGTCGGTCGAAAGCTTTTTCGTAGTCAATGAATACCAAGTACAGGGACTCTTGGAACTCATTGACCTGCTTCAAGATGATGCGGAGTGTGACAATATGGTTCACACAGGAAATCCTGCCTGCTGTCGTCGGAGAGTCACGTTGATCTTCTCCTGTATTCGATTGAGGATAACTTTACACAGAACTTTGAGAACAATACACAATATTGTCGCATACAGTTCGATCCCCCTTCTTGGGGACTTTTACCAAGACGCCCTGCATCCAGTCGGCCGGAAAAGTCGCGGTGTCCCAGATTTTGACGAATAGTTGACGCAACATTTGTGAGGATAGCATGGGGTCAGCTTTGAGCATCTCTGCTGATATGCGATCGACCCCCGGGGCTTTGTTGGACTTCATACTTCGGATGGCTGCTTCTATCTCCTGCAATGATGAAACTTCAGTGTTGACGCAAGTAACGTGCCTCACCCTTGGCGGATCATGCCGAGATGTTGATGGTTGGTTGACCGTTGAAACTTCGAGAAGTTGTTCAAAGTGCTAAAACCAACGTTTCAACTGGTCAGTGGGGTCGGCGAGCAACTGTCCAGTCGCGTCTTTCACAGGCATCCTTGGGTTCATCCTTGCCCCGCTCAGGCGTCGTGAAACATCATAGAAGAGCTGACAGGCCTCGTTCTTGGCTCCTCGGGTCCTTGCTCGCTCTATCGTGGCTTTTGCTTCTCTTCGCTCCTCACCCAGGTTGTTCTCGCTTGTTTCAATAAAGGCATTCTTGATGCTCGTCCACTGTTCTTCTACGCTGCCACCTTTCGGAATATTAGCTGCGCGAGCCTCGAGTTCTTCGACGAACGATCTCTTCACTGCTGGGTCTTCCAGTCGACGTGTGTTGAATCGCCGCCCGAGTCTCTCCTCCCGCCGTTGAACCCGCGCAATGCGTAGGCGGATTCCATCGCCCAGGAGATGATGGTCAGACGCGATGTCAGCGCTGCGTTTATTCCGAACATCAAAAAGGCTCCGTCTCCAATTTCGGCTGATGCAGATGTGGTCGATTTGGTTCTCTGTATATCCATCACGGGAGACTTCACTAAGTCCCAGTTGGGCTAGCGTCAGTACATTCCATGTTCCAATTCTTGTCCGTTGTTTAGCGCTAAAAGTCGTTGCCATAAAATCAGTTCGTAATCTTTCACTATAGGTTTCTGTAATAATTTGAAGGTTTTGGAGACAGTAGGTGGTTGGCCTAAGGTCTCCTATCCGCCGTGATGGGACTGCCATCTTGGGTATAGCTTTCGGAGAGAAGCATTTCGTAATCAGCCGCTGGATGCCAGTCAGACACTGTTTGAGCCGCCCCTAACATGGAAAACAGACGCTCGGGTTTTGTAAGCCACATCCTCCGAAAAGGATACAGCTTCCCCTTCCCTGTCAGCCTACGACCAAATTTCCCACCGGGGTTGGTTACCCGATCTTCCCTAAGGTTACTCGTACCCCAGCCGGCGCCGCGGGAGGAAGGGATAGGAGTTACTGGGCAAGAGGCTAAGGACCACTTTCACTTGCGTGACGGGTCTATTTTATAACCTTCAAGTACGCGAAGTACCGGTGGTACGCATCATACCAGTCATTTGCCAGCTGAGCGAGAGGAAGAGTAACGGAAATCTTGTCAAATCGCTTCTTCAGCCAGACAGTCGAGCTGGTCGAAGCTATGAGGCATTACTCTCAGGGTGACCAGTGAATCGGTAAATCGGGAAAAAAAAACCAGGAATTCGAAGTCACCATTCCACACACACGATGACAAAGCGGAACAAAATGTACTTCGTCCTTTCCTCAAGAAAAATAAGATTTTGGAACTTGAAAAAACTTTAAGACCTTTGGACTGGATTAGATTTGCGGGGTAAAGTCGCTGAAGAACCATTACGAGAATTTTATAAAAAGCAATTCCAACGCAACTTTGAACAAATTTTAGAATGGATCCAGAGATGAACTTTTTGACTAAAACTCAAAGTCAATTATGTGATTTCAGAGTAATTTTTTTTTAAAGTAGCTCTGTGGATAAATGTATGGCGATTGGGAAGAGGATTTCCTATTTTGAGAGTAAAATTCCAAAGGAATTGTGAAGAGTTTCAAGGAAATTCCGATCATAATTTCAAGGACATCTCGAAAATAATCTTATAATATTAAGGGGAGTTCCAAGTGAATGATCAAAATAGTTTAGATGAGAACTCCAAGGTTTGTTTTTTTCTTAGTTTATAGAATTTTTGAATTAGGAATGGAAGGATGCTTCAGGGAATTCTTCGAAAAACAAAGATAGAGAGGGAAGGATTAGTAATTTCCATTTAATTCCACTGCCTTATTTGCTTATCATTGACGGATACGCGTATTTCGTCTACAATGTGTAGACTTCTTCAGTGTCTTGTACTAATTCTCGACTATTAGTATTAGTACAAGACGCTGAAGAAGTCTGCACATTGTACACGAAATACGTGTACCTGTCAATAATAGCAAATAATGTAGTGGCATTACATGGAAATTACCAATCCTTCTCTCTCTCTCCCGCATTCATCAGGATTCTTCGAAAAAGTTTAAAATTCGATGAGAATCTTTGGATAAATTTCATGAATTTTTGTGGAGTGCTCTGCAAAGAATTTCTGGACTGTTTTAAATAAATTTTCAAAGGCCGTCATTTGCAATATTTATAGAGGTTAAGTTTATAGATTTTAGGCAACTAAAAGAACTAAGCGCTAAAATAATTGTACCTTACGTCCACCTTCCACAGAAAAAAATGTGAATTTTAACTATCGCGTAAAATCTCCCTTCGTTTAATTTTGAGCTATGATTGGCATTAACAGCGAAATCGTTTACAAGCTTGCATACAGTTTTACTAAATAATGCGATATTGCGCTTAATTTTACACGAAATATCACGTAAATTTATGCCAAATCTAGCGTTAATTTTATGTGCGCTGTATCTCGCAGAAATTTACATGAAATTTTCGAACGGTATGGAACAGCCTCTTCTACTTTTTTTTCAATGTCCGAACGACAAGCAGTCTACCCAAGCTCCTACCCTGATCCTATCCTTCGACAGTGAGTGTACCTCTCTAACCTCGGGTAAGCCACCGAGTATTCAGCCCAACTCCTACTAGACCTAGAATTAAGTGAATTTTGTTACAAACAAAGAACAATGAACTATCGGCTCCGTAAAGCTAACGCGATTGAACTTTCCAAATAAACGAACTAGCTGAAAAAAAACAAGCAGTCTGAAATCTCGAAAACAACTATTCCAAACCGCTCCTATCTGTTCTTGCCGTTAACTGCAAAATCGGGCCGGAGTCTAAGGCATTTTTGGTAGGATCTGGACTCGGAGTCACTGTCAATGGTGTCTTTACCGGTGGAATAGAAAGAATACCTCTGATTTTGATCCAGCAGATACTTCGAAAATGGTTCTGGCACCGCAGCTCTGCTGCAAATGTATAGAAAATTACCTCTGCTCAAACATGTCGGTGCTTCTGTACACGAAGCATAATTATAACAGATTATACCAGTTAACCATCTAGGGACAGAGTCGAGTAGTAATATCTATCGTTGTGATTTGTGACATGCATGAATTGGTGAATAAAAATATTGTCGATTACTTCAACAACGCAAAACATTAGATGGGTGTTGAGTTGCTTTGCTTCATAAATTAGGAGAAATTATTCGGAACTACATCGTAAAATTTTCGGACGGGAAAGGCCTATTGAGACTGAATTGATTTTTCCAAATAGGTGTGAACCGAGTGGCACCCACCCTTTTTTTCCTTTCGCTGACTTATAATCATAATTATAATTGAATATTGTTCTTAAGAATCGCCACTGGCGTCATAGAACGTAGGAATGCACCATGGACGGGGAAAAAATCTCTTTCTACTTTGTTGAAACCCTTTAATTCAATTGTGAACCCAGTCCGGACCGTATAAATACGGCCCGCCTGCATCGGAACAGTCGAGTCGCTTTGGGTATTCCAACAGTACGTATCGTGCCTTTAAGTCTGAAGTAGTTCGTTTTCGCAACGATTTTCTTCAGCTTAACACCAAGAGTTTATCAAGACAAAAAAGAATACATTTTGAAAAACTATCAGTTAGATCTGTGTTTAAGTACTGTTTAGCGAATAAAGGTAAGTGTTGAAAATTTCTGTGAGTTTTTGTGAAATTTAGTCACGTCGAAAATTTCAGAAAATGGCAGCCTTCGTGGAACCTCATTATGATGCCTGGCAGTCGGGTGGCAGCAACATATCCGTCGTGGACATGGTCATGCCGGATATGTTGCACATGGTCCACCCACACTGGACTCAGTTCCCGCCGATGAATCCCCTGTGGCACTCGATCCTCGGGTTTGCCATCTTCATGCTGGGACTCATCTCGATGATCGGTAATGGCTGCGTGATGTATATCTTCACCAACACCCGAAGCCTCCGCACCCCGTCCAACTTGCTAGTGGTCAATCTAGCCTTCTCGGATTTCTTTATGATGTTTACGATGGGACCGCCTATGGTGATCAACTGCTGGCATGAGACCTGGGTCTTTGGACCGTTCGCTTGCGAACTTTATGCCATGCTTGGATCACTGTTTGGCTGTGCCTCGATCTGGACCATGACTATGATTGCGTTTGACCGATACAACGTCATCGTGAAGGGTCTGGCTGCCAAGCCACTGACCAACAACAGCGCCCTGCTGCGCATCATGCTGACCTGGGCCTTCGCCCTGTTCTGGGTAATGGCTCCCTTCTTCGGATGGAACCGATATGTGCCAGAGGGTAACATGACTGCCTGCGGTACTGATTATCTGACCACCACCTGGTTGAGCCGCTCGTACATCATCATCTATGCCATCTTCGTCTACTGGACTCCGCTGCTGACGATCATCTACTCGTACACTTTCATCCTGAAAGCTGTGTCCGCACACGAGGCTTCGATGCGTGAGCAAGCGAAGAAGATGAACGTTGCCTCCCTCCGGTCGTCGGAAGCCAATCAGACTAGCGCCGAAATCAAGCTAGCCAAGGTTGCCCTCGTTACCATCTCGCTCTGGTTCATGGCCTGGACCCCGTACCTGGTTATCAACTTCACCGGTATCTTCAAGGCCGCTCCGATCAGCCCACTGGCCACCATCTGGGGATCGCTGTTTGCCAAGGCCAATGCCGTCTACAACCCAATTGTCTACGGTATCAGCCATCCGAAGTACCGCGCGGCTCTGTACCAGAGGTTCCCAGCGCTGTCCTGCCAGGATGCCCCGGCTGACGACAGCCAGTCGGTTGTTTCCGGAGCGACAACCGCCTCCGAGGAAAAGGCTTAAGTACACAAGCGCCACAGAACTTAAGCGGTGATATTTCTGGCAAACAACGTTAGACTATTTAAGGTGTGAATATAGCAAGTGGATTGCGAATCGAATGACTGATTTTTCTTTTTAATTCTCTATCCGAACTGTGGGGTATTCAAAGTATCCCTACGCTTTTAATTTTAGTCTACGCTCCATTTTGGTTTCTCTCTTTTGAAATGAATCTTATAGCGGGTGCACTACGACAGAAGTTTCGTAAATATTTTCGTCAATATTTTCACGTAAATTTTTTCAAAAATATTTTTGCTAGATCATCAATACAGGGCTGCTCCTCGCTAAACTAAATTCGTTGTATGTCATGGATTTTTCTGAGACAACATAACAACCTTCGAATAACAGAAGGAGATAATGGAAGGAAATATTGAAACTTTAATTTTATTTCAATATTTTCATAAATTGTTTGGTCATCAATACTATTGACAATACTGTTGCCTATGGATTTGAACCGAGAGCTTCGCGTGATAAATTTCACCACTGTTCACTGTAATCAATATTTTATTCATGATTCCGATGTTAATTCAACTGATAAATGGTCAAGAACTAACTTAGTGATGAAATTAGAACCTGCAGTTTAAAAAATTTGATAACCTACCTTCTTCTTCTTTGCATTTCAAGCTTATTGCATATCGCATATTAGCTTATTGCGTGCTCTCAACTTAGTGTTCTAGATGCACTTCCACAGTTATTAATTGAGAGCTTTCGATGCCTGTACCATTTTTGCATTAGTATAATTGTGTGGCAAGCAGTGTTGGCAAAATCATCAATCAAATGATATTTTTTCACTTTCATACGCTCTCAATGTCACGCGTGATATTGGAATAAAATATCATGCTTGATATTGATTTTACAAGCTCCTTTGATATTACGAGACTATTCACAACGTGCAAAAATCAAGCGGAGAGTTGACTAGACACAAAAATGATTCCGTTGCACATCGTTTTCTTAGAAAGAGAAAGTATAGTTTGCTATCTCTTTTTACTGTTCACCGATGGCAGACACGAAGTTACTGCTGCCAGCTTTTATGGAAGATTCGGTTGCGTTCGGGTGTAAAGCAAAAATCATGAGATCTCAATGTCACCACAGTTTGTTGAGATTTGTAGCTGGTGAGTTTTGTTAGCTTGCTATTCTGTATTTATGCTTGTTGATTTTTGTCTACGAAAATCATGCGCGATTTTGGGCATTGATGAGATTTGATTTTTTGATATTTTCCCAACACTGGTTGCAAGTACAATAATACTCTATGTCCAAGGAAGTCGAGACATTTTCCAACCCGAAAAATTCCTAGACCGGGACCGGGAATCGAACCCAGCCACCTCCAGCATCGTCTTGCTTTGTAGCTGCACCTTTACCGACTGAGCTAAGGGAGGCCCCAATCTTACTATATAACCTACCTACTTAACATAAAATTTAATCCAACGTGCCAGATCCCTGATGATCTGCTGATTGGATCGCCTACAGGAATCTCTGAACCATTCGATGGTAGCAGTTCTCCGTAACTGCAGCGTCTGAAGACCAGCCAGGCGATGCACCTCAGAGTTTCGAGTGCGTGGAGGAGTTGAGGATCATCCTCAGGATCTTGTTTTGGGCGCTTTGTAGTTTGAGGTGATGGCAACCCGCGCTACTCTCCCATATTGGGACCCCGTATTCTATCACGGGAAGGATTGTTTGCTTATAGACAGCAAGCTTTTTTTTCAGGGACAGAGTGGATCTCCTGGAGATGAGCGGATACAGGGATCCCAACGTGTTCCCTGATAGGCAGCTTGCTGTCGAGTGTAAGGCCGAGGTAGGCTACCTCTTTGGATCATTCCACCACTGTGCCGTTCAAGTTGATCATATTATTCTCAGACGCAACCAGTCTGGGAGATTTGGAATGAGGAAATATGATGACCTGGGTCTTCGCCACGTTTATACGGATCTTCCGGCTGTTGAAATAATCAGACAGGACATCCAGTCCTCTCTGAAGCTTCGATGACCCTACCCTTATAGATGATGGATGTGTGGATGGTGAACAGGTTGAATAGGATGGGTCCAAGGAAGTCCAAGCACCTATATTGAAGGCATCCGATGTGATGCCATTCAGAGAGACTCGGAATTGAAGGAGTACAAGCAACCCATGATTGAAGCTGGCTGTATGTAGATAGATAAGAAATACCTATATGTCATTAGTTTTCGCACTCTTGAACAGATCGGTTCGTTTTACTGCCCGCTAATAGCTGCCTACTAATAGGTTATGGGCCCAGCTAGTAACCATCGCGACCGATCAACAAGCTAATTTTTTTTTCAAGATTCGATGAACCGGTTCGGAATTCCCAAGCTTAATGGAAGAAATTGCGGAACCTATAAGAACAAGCTCGAATTTCTGCTGATTCGAGACGGCGAGCGCTGCGACTTCCGGATCGACTGTCGATTTCCTGGGCTGCTCGGAAGCAACAGTGTGTAACCCTTTTGTCTACCGAGGCGGAATACGTTGCCCTAGCAGAGGCCTGCCGGGAGTTGCTCTGGTTGCAGAAGCTAATGAAGGATGTTGGTGATGAGAAAGCTTGTTGTCCACGAAGATAATCAGAGCTGCATAGCAGTGCTGCGAGCTGAAGGAGGAAGTCGAAGAACCAAGCACATCGACACGTGGTTCAACTTCATCCGAGACTTGGTAAAGCTATCATCACACTGTTTGACAAAACGCCAAATATTTGGCAAATTTGGACAAATATATTTGACCAAAGTATAATGGCCAAATATATTTGACCAAAGTATAATGGCCAAATATATTTGACCAATTTTTGCTATGGCGAAAATTTGACGTGTATTTAACATTTCAATTATTTGGCATTTTGTCAAATAGTGTGATGCCTTTTGTTATTGTTTGACACGCATGTTTGCTCAATACTATCAAATAATTTATTTGACACTCTGAAATTTCTTGAGTAGCAAACATCAACAAATTATTGTGCAATTACCGGTTCTCGAAAAAAAAAAATCAAATTTTTTGTGTTGAGAGCATTTTGATGATGGCAGAAGACTATTCCGGTGCTACTTTCGACGATGTGGAGAGTCTTGGAGCTCCAAGTCCAAGTGGGACGTCGAAATGTGCACGAAGAATCCGGAAAAAAGTGACGCAGAGTGGAGCGAGGAAGCCACTTTAACCTTGATCGCTGCCGGTTATAAGCCACATGGTTTTAACAATGGTTATAAGTTGTTGAGGAAGTCAAGATCTTTCCGCTGATGGACAGTAGTTCAGAGTTTTCTCCCTTCGTGGCGCTAGTATACATGTGAATATCTCGCTTATAAAATATCTGTAGATCCTGACCAGATAGAAAGTTACTGTCTTCAACAAAGCTGTTCAGGAAGTTAAGATCTTTTCGTTGGTGTTCAGTAGTTCAAATTTTCTCACTTCGTGGCGCTAGTATACATGTGAATATCTCGCTTATAAAATATCTGTAGATCCTGATCAGATAGAAAGTTACTGTCTAAGACAAAGTTGTTCAGGAAGTTAAAATCTTTTCGTTGGTGTCCAGTAGTTCAGAATTTGTTCACTAAGTGGCGCTAGTATACATGTTGATTATTCCAGCTCAAGTGTATACACCACCTGTGGTCAATGTCACCGATTTGAACCAAACTTTGCCAAAACGCTTATTTTGACATTCTGAACAAACAACTGTTTTGGTTTTGCTCTTAAGTGCCTGGATCCAACCCTGGATTTTTGAGATTTTTAGATATGTTATTTTTGAGAAGATATTACTCCACAACCAATCAAATTATTTTTGATCTTAGTACGTAATATTGAAGGTATTTTAATTTAGATTTTTATAGGTGTACTGACAATACAGTAACTACAGTAAACATAATGATTTCCGGATTATATTCAAGCTATCAAAATATGGGCTAATTTCACCCAGGGCGGGATTCTTTATTTCAAATTTTCACTACTTTTTGGAAAACCCTTCTAATGCGACCTACCTTTAAGAAATTCTGCTTCAAAACCAGATAGATGGCATCCAGGACTTCAGGTATGATGTTTGAAATAGTTGGCTTTGGGATGCGAAAAAGGTACTGGAGCGACATGAAGGTTTCACCGGTAGCCATGTACCGCAAAGTCAGAGCCAGCCTTTCTCCGGCTGTAATCGCTTTCCGCATATACGTGTCCTGTGTTTTATGCGGAGCTACTAAATCCAACAAATAGTCAAAATCAGCAGCCGGCATTCTCACGAAGTTTCGGAACAAATTTGGATGATCGCTCCTCAACTCATTCAAAAGGGTTGCATAACATCCTTCAGTTTGCCGTTTCTTCACCCACTTCTGGACCCAAACACCACGCACTTTTTTTTCGATTCGTTCTCCTTCAGCAACAGATATGCTGCTTCCATAACTGTAGCAAACTCAGAATAATTCATCCTGGTTAATTTTTCTTCGATTTCAACTTCACAGCAACACAACAACAATCAGATTAATATATAAATGCAAACAGTTGCAAACAATGTGGTGACATGCAAGGAATCAAAAATATCTCCAAATGACAAAATGACAAGCTATCAACGAACCGAATAATAACGCTATGTCAGAAGTGGAAAGCAATAATGATATAATCTTCTTCGTTCTTTTTCATGACAAGCAGCCCGTGCGACACAACTCATTCGGGGCGGTAGAAGGAAACGAGCAAATTGTTAGCAAGCTGCTTCACGAAGTAAAGCCGAAGATGGTACACGTGTATGTCCTCATCCGTGTCTATAGAGATGAACTAGCCAACGGCTAAAAATCTCTCTAATAAAGTTTAAAAAAAAAAATCATCCGTGTATATTGCAACAAAGCAGGCAAGCAATATATCATTATCCTTCTACCACTCGGATCGAGCTATGTTACAGAGCGAGTTTGTCGTGGTAGTCGTAGCAACCGTTTTGTCTGTATCGTTTGTTGCTTTATGTTTTTGGATTCGCTGATGACATGTCAAATATATTTGTTGACCGTTGGTCAAAACACCTTATTTCATGTTTGGCCAAATAATGTTTGCTCAAATATTTGCGAAATGTTATCATAGTGTAATAGCATTGACAAACAACTT